ACTGTTTCGCAGCATAAAAAAAGAAAAAAAATGCGAAGAGAAAGTTTTTTTTTTTCGGCAACAGGCTTACCCTGAGGAACTGATCCAAGTACGCTTTCTTTCTGAGCAGAAGTTCGCACTGATTCAGATTTTGTTGGAAAATACTAGCAATATTTGTATTATTACAAAGCATCAGTCCCGTAACACGATTTATCGTTGGCAAATAAGGCGAACTACGGCACGGCACAATATTCAGTGCGCCTGATGCCCAAGGTGCAAACCTGAAAATGCAAGGTTTCATCGATTACGCATCAAACTGACAGCGCCGGTAATGGCTCTTGAAATTTTTAGCCACATAGCTCTTCTGACTCCCAAGGTAATGATTTTTCCCACCAAAACCTTCAAGGAGACGAAAAGAATTTGCGAGTCCGTACGTGGGAAGAGGGCGCTACGCTAAAACTTCAGCTTTCTATATTCCGTGGTTCCCGAGATAATAATTTGCCCGCCAAAGGTTTCACGGGGCTGTATATGTTACCAGCGCACACGGAAAGGCTGAATTTAAATTTTCCGGATCGGGCATGGGCAGAGGACATGCCCGCAAGACTTCAGCCTTCTAGATTCCGTGATTCCCGTGATAATAATTTTCCCCGCCAAAACTTTTAAAGGGCCATACATGTAATCCGCGGGTACGGGGAGGCTGAATTTAAATTTGCGGGGTAATACGTGGATGGGGAGCATTCTAAATTTTCAGCTCCCTAGCTTTTGTGGTTCCTAAGTTGCGCCAGACAAACACACACGGACAACTCCGTAGCAACATACTTTTTGCACTACCGTTACGCAGAACAAAATGCGTAATAAAATGGCCTACACAACAGAGTGCCAAAATCCTCTTTAAAAAACATGGTATTTATAAAAACCTTTTAAGGAAAGCATGCAGTTCTGGGATAATTAAGTTACTGAAGTGCCTCTTGTTTTTCAAACAGTCGTTTTATTAAAATATTCCAAATCAGGGAGATAATAAGGAGTGAGTTTTTGGAGTAGTGGTAGACAGAAGCAATAAAAGACATAAAAAGTCTAAACAAAGGCATCTAGTGAAAGGAGTTTGTAAGAAATTTAGAAATTTATAGTGCGAGAAAGGAAGGGGATAAATAACTGAAGTGGTTAGGTTCACTGAAAGCTATAATCTTATAATTACCGAGGAATGGTAAAATGAGAAGCTAGACGGCACTACTCAATAAATACAAAGTACATCCTGAAGAAGCTAAAAACAAAAGA